AAATAAGTCCCAGGGATTAAAAAGATAACTTTTCTTTTATCTCTCTCATTTAATAATGATCACATCCTGTTGAATCTGTCCTTTGAGTAATTGTAGGATCTGTGTTTTTTTCCATTCCTATTGCCTCTCTCTTAACCCATTTCCTCCAAAGCATTCACTACACTGCAACCAAATATACCTGTTTAAAACACAAACCTAACCATGTCACTTCCTAGCTCTAATCACCTTCGGACAAATTCATAATCCTAAAAAGTGCTCAGGAAGTTGTACCAAAAATAATCCTTGCTTACCTCACCTACCTATCCTCAACTTCACCCGCCACAGTGCGACTGGATGCATTTTGCTTCCAGCTCAATGATGCCAACTCCCAAAGACCTCAGGGTCTTCATGGACACTGTTTGCTGTCTGGCACCTTTCTGACAACATCTTCCTCTAACTGACTTCTTTTCATTCAGTTCCCCACTTGAATATCAATTCCTCAGGAAGACATCACTGTATTATCCAAACTCAATTAGATCTTCTCACCATACTTTCCTGTAGTAACCTAATGGACTGTAAACCCCTTGGGGCAAGGACCATATTTCTTTTGTTTGTCCCGGTTCTGGCCCTTCGCCATTCCTCAATAAATGACTGAATAAAAACCAGCCCACATGCACAATGGATTACCAAGTCTGACCCCGGAACTGTTGCCAAGGGGAGATATTTTCAGTCATTAGGGATAGCACTCAATAATCAACTAAACTTAAGAGAAAAATAAAATGCATTTAGAAAACCTCTTCTCTCAAATTAGGTAGAAACCATTCTTTTAGATGGAGTTTAGGAAATTGCTGGAAATCAGGGAACTCAATTCTCTTAACATTACAGCTTATTAATGAAGCTTTCTGTCTTGATTTTCTACATAATTACCATAACAACCTATGTTCACAGATGATTTTTCAAAGTGACCAGTCTGTATCAACTCAGCTTCATAAGCTACAATTTAAAGAGTAGTGCAAATGAAAGAGAAAAGGAAACTTAACAAGAGCATATTTGGAGTTCCCACAGTGAGAGGTTTGCCTCTTAATGTTAAGCTAACAATTCCTGCAAATCAGGCAGAAGTGAAAGCTGGGTAATTATTAATTTAATGATGCTATACTAACGGACTTAACCTCTTCCAGTTAGGTTATGTAACATAAACCAGTAGACGAGCTAAGGCAATATAATTTTCAGAAAGAAATCTGAAGGGGAATAATGATGACTAACTTGGAATGGACTATTGCTCTGCAAGAAAAAGAGGCACCAGCAGGGATCTTAAAGGTCTATTAACTGTATTTGCTTGGTCTGAAGAACAAAAGTGAAAATCCTATCCGTTTACGCATAGACACCGAGAAAACACCTGCTAAAAAGTTAGCGTTAGTTTATGTAGGAAAGTTGTGTTTCTCCAGAGCAACACTGTCCAGTGGAAATATAATACAAGCCACATATAAAATGCTTAATTTTTTAGTAGTAGCATTTAAAAAGGAAAAAGAAAGTGAAATTAATTTTCACATTTTATTTAACTTAGGGCACCATCCAAAATATTACCATTTAAATATGTATCACTATTCATTTTTCAATATTTATTTCAACATAAAATGAATAACTAAAAAAATTAATGGGATAAGCTGTGTTTTATTGTTTTGTACCATCTTTGAAATCAAGTATGTAATTCACAGTACAGCACCTCTCACTGTAAACTAACCAAATTTCATATGTTCAAAAGCCACAGGTGGCTACTGGCTATTGTATTGGGAAATATAACTATGTAACTTTAGACTCTATTACCCAAAAAAGTGTGTGTGTGTGTGTGTGTGTGTGTGTGTAATATTATTAGTGGCAAATCAAAGGAATGAAAGATCTGAAATGTCTTTTGGAATACCAATTAAAAATAATTTTTAAAGTATACATTTATGATCATTTATGCATTTTATTATGTTCTAATTCTTTGAATACTGGCAATCCATGGATGGACTATGATTAACTACAGTAATGGAGTCATTATTTGTGACGCCTTATTTTAACAACCATCTGTTATCAAAGTTTCTTTTTTGAAAGCCTCAGTCAGCAAGAATACAGACTGTGAGTGAAAAGTCTGGACGTGTGGCAATCACTAGCCTCCTCAGACATTTCTCCACGAACAGGTCTGGGCTCAGACCCTCCAGATGGAAGACTACCTCCTCTTGGCTCATGGTGGGAAGTACCAAAGGAGTAAGAGGAGGGGCACTGCTCAGGCAGGCAGGGAGGGGAGGAAGTCGTCCTGCTGGCAGGAAGAAGTGCTCCTCTTCTACAGTCAGTTCACTTCACTAAAAGCATATCTTACTTTCAACATCTCGCACCCTAAACATTGTAGATAAATGGGCATCTGTTTCTCACTTTGGAGTATGGCTTCAGTAACTATAACACAGTATGCACCAACATGATCCACAATGGCGGGGGTGGCATGGGGGGTGGTATTGAACTTCTCTTTACCAGGAGTTGTCTATCTGAATCAAACTTTGATCTGAAAGCCTGAGACCTGAAGACTCGTCCGTGGGGATAGTATTTTGTATTGTGTAGGAGATAGGCACCATTGTAAGAGATCTCTGAACTTCATCTCTCTGAAAGCAAGTTAAGCCATTCCAAATGAAAGAAAATACCTTACCGACATGGCAATTGTAGCTCAATCTTTAGTTACGATAAGATATTTGGGTTCAGCAAACCAGAAAATATTTTTCATTTTGCTTCATTTCAACTGTTACCTTTTAATTTATAAATTTCGCGTATTTTTATTAAATTTATTGGGGTAACATTGGTTAATAAAATCATATAGGTTTCAGGTGTACAATTCAATAATACATCAACTGTATATTGTATTGTGTGTTTAGCACCCCAAGTCAAGACTCCTTCCATCACTATTTATCCCCCCTTTAATTTATCCCCCTTTACCCTAGAAAAAGGCAAAGGGGAGACACACAATTTCTTTATAAAGGAAAATAAGATATATTGTTTAAAACACTGCATGAAAAATAACTTCAGTCAATTCTTTTGCAAATATTCAAAGTTATTACTAAAGCTATTAGTGTTCCAACCAGTGATTGAAAGGAAATCTTGTCTTCCTTTTTGCCTTTCATCTCAGTAAACACCATTTTTATTGACCAAAAATTTAAAAGTTAAAAATATTCCTTTAGCTTGTCATTTCTAATTCTTCTCTAATTCATCAATCAGGCTGATGACAAACTTTCATTTTGCTTTTATTTATTGATCTTCAGCCAATAAAGTTTCAATTAATTCATGTTGTACATTTACCATATGCTCACTTCTCTGAGGATATTTCTGTAGTCCATCCCTATGTTCCACATGCCTAAAGAATTTAGATTTTCCTTCCATTTTGACAAGATTATCTGAAATTTTATAGAAGGCTATGCCATCTTTCCAATTAAAATATAGACATCTAGAAATAGATTCAGTGCCCTTCCAGACAGGAGCTGAGTGCTAGATACCAGTGGTTATAATATCATGGATCAGAAAACTATTACAGGACAACAGAAATGAAATTTTCCCTCCTGAGGCCTTGTCAAGACCAAGGTTTTGTGACCCACTCTCTAATTCCTTATCCCACAACTCTCTCATGCAATGAAAACTATGTTTTGCAGAATTACTCCAAATGGATAGGTCTATGAATGTGCTATGCTTTCCTAGTCTGCCTTTTGGAATGGAAGAGGCTTAATGAGAGGCTGGTGCTTATTCTACATACTACAGACAACTCCTAGACTTTTATGGATGCTCTGAGTTAAAAATGAAAATCCCCTAATATACATACTCTATTTGAACTCATTCTAAATGAAGGAAAACAGCTTCCCAGTTTGAGAAAAAGCAAAAACTACGATTAAAAGGGGTTTAAGGTGCAGTTAGTAGCTTATCTCAAGTCTGTTGACAACAAAAATAAATATGAAAAAGGTCCCAATTGTAACCTTTTATTCACCATTTATGGATAGCTCATCAGATCAGCAGACAATGTGTTGGACCCTTCATTTAATTTTATTTGCACTGAAGATGAGTATATAGAAGGACAGGGCTTGGATTTTGGACCCAAGCAGATATGACTTTGACCTGGGGTCTCATCATCCACTCACTAGCTGAGAAAGTGTTAGAAGTACTTGCAATCCTCTGAGTCACAGACTCCTTGTGTGTTAAGTAGGAACACTGCTCATCATGACCTACTGATGCACTGAGGGGAAAACAGTTAAGCAACATATATAGCAGTGCCTAATTGTGCCAAATTAATATTAGTTCCTCTTTCATACCCCCACCACACCCCTTACCCCATGTATCTGTGCAAAGCAAATTTGCTTTTCGCTTTGAAACATAATCTTTCTCCCCTGCCCCTTCAGAACACATTTCCCAAGTCATCACAAATCTGAGACATGAAGAAATGGCTTCAAATAGAGGTATCTGTTTAATATGAGAATTTTGAAGAGAAAATCTAGTAACTGTCTGTTAAGCCTCATTTTGATTATATTAAAATGGAGATGCCAGTGTTTCCTGTGCTCTTCTTTTACATTTTGTATTCTAAGTAAAGCTGTATCATTTTCCTCTTTAGAAAGCCCTTAAGCCAAATGACAGAATATGGGATCAATTCCAACTGCTATTCCTGATCTGCCCCTTAGCCTGTTCTCTTGGACAAGGCTGGTAGGTCAAAGATGGAAATAAAAGTCTTTAGTCTTGGTTTAGCTGTATCCTGTCCCTATTATGCAGAGGCTTGAAAATGTTTTACAAAACGGACAGGGGTGAGGGGAGATGGTATAATAAGAACTTCTCTTCTACATAGTTTAGTCAGAGTACTGCAATCATTGCAATAAACAAAAGAGAATAAAATAATGATAGAAAGAAGGGGACCACGTCCCTGGAAGTAATAGGCAACATGAGTTCTTCCAGGAGTGGATTGTCCTGGGGTCCACAAGTGGGGGGTGGATCACTCACTCCTGGTCCCACATCCAACTCACCCAGCTGGAGCTGTTCACAAGTCCGGTTTGGATTCTTTCCGATCTGGCATCTGTAAATCGCCCCGGGGTTGACCACTGAAGTATTGGTGAGCCATTTGGCCGTGGGAGCCCCCACTACGAGCCTGCAGCGAGAAAAGTGCACGTGCGCGCAGATGTGAGCTGTGTGCCCAAGAACTCCTGGTCTGAACAAGGAGCAGCTGGCAGCAGGCCGGCTCCCCCCACCTCCTCCTCCGCCCACCGCCCCACGCACCCAGCCAGCCACCCCGAGCTCGCAGCTCCAGGGCCTTGTGCCAGAACGCACCCGGCCCTGCCACCCGAGATAAGTTCGTTTCCCGGGCAGCCCCGGGGCTGGCCCGGCAGCGCTGCCCTTGTGCCTCCTGCTGACAGAGGAAAGTCTGACCGGGCAGGGAAACCCTGGGGCGCTGCTCGCTCCTGCTCTGGGGTGCGGAGGGCGCCCGAGCCCCACGCCTCTCACCATCGGGTCGGCCCGTGGCTGTGCAGCACCACTGAGTAGCCGAAGAGGGTGTCAGGGGCGCCCTGGTAAAGCAGCGCGCTCTCGGTGTCCACGTTGTAGGGGCGCCCGGACGGAACCCCCAGGCACAGCAGCAGCATCACCGCCTCCCTGACGGCGGCCCTTCGGGGGCCCTGCCCTCGCCTCGCTTCCTCAGCCATACGCTCTCCGAGGGGAACATTCAACACCAAAGGCACTGTCCCGAAGTTGTACGGGACGAGACTCCGGCCAAGGGGAAGAGGGCCCCAAGAGAAGAGGTTCAGCGAGTCGGGTGCCAGCAGGCAGCAGGAAAGGGGGGAGGGGGGAGGGGAGGGACGGACAGAAAGAGGGAGGGGAATTCGGGCCTCCGGCTGAGCAATCCGAGGCCGCTCGGGATGTGCGCCCGCTCTGGGGACCCCACGCCTGGTTTCTGCCGCAGGGAGCTGCGGGCGGCTCTCCTGGTCCAGGGCAGGGCCCTTGGGTGGGGTCCTGGGCGTGGTGCAGAGGCGTGCCCTGTGCACTCGCCCCCTCCCCCCACGAGCGGCTGCAGGGGGCGCTGGGGGATCTCTGCTGCTGGACTGCCTCTGGCCAGATCTCCCTGCCTCCTGGGATAGCAGGATGACTGGGCTGGGGGCTTTACGAGAGTGGAGCTGGAGGGAGCATGGGCTTCCCCTTTTAACCGTGCTTGGGCCTGGATGCGGGGCGGTGTGGCCTCGATCCGACCCGCGCGGTCCCCACTATGAACGCAGAGATTCCAGGGCCTTCCCCGCGTGGCCCAAAGGCCAGCCAAAATCCTGGGCACCAGCGCTGCGGCGGGGCACCGTCCAGATGTTGCGTTGAGAGGCGCTTTATCTGATTTAGCTAAGACTAACCAGAGGGTCCCAGATTTAAAGCGAACAAAAGGAACTCCTGAGACCAGTGGAGGTACTTTGGACACAAAGACGTTATGACTGTTCACTTCTAGCCCCTGCAAGTTTCTGTGCCCGCTTCCGTACTCCCCACACTTCCTCTTCAGTCCCGGGCTGCTGGGGGAGGACACAGAAGAGCAGCCAGCCTCTCGGGCTGAAAGGCGCCAGGTTGAGGCTGTTATGAGTTCAACAGCAAGGCTGGGTTATTAAGGAAGCACTGTGACTTGCCTCACTTTAACAAGAACCCAGTTCTTACTGCTCCCCCTTTCCACCGGTTTCCACCAGATGCCCAGTGTGAGGTTAAGGGACAGATCCCATAATAAGCCTCTGAAGATGCGCTGGGACCCATGGCACAACACGCCCGAACTGGGTTACATGCATTCTCATTCTAATGCAATCCAGATGTGCCTTAGGTTTCTTTCCTGAGCAACCAGAGAGACAGCCTAGATGACTTGGCTGATATTTGCAGATGCAGGTCCAGTTAATAATTACTGCTGTGTAAAAATATGAAGGAAGAAAAAGGGTTCTTCATGGTGTGTGTGTGTGTGTGTGTGTGTGCGCCCGCGTGCTCACTAAAACCATACTGAAATAGCACATCTTAAATTGTAATGGCTGACACATCACTAAAATACGTGTTCATTTAATCAGCATATTCACTGAGCCAGCAAGTTGCAAAACCCACAGGATACCACGGTGAGCAAGGCAGGATAAGCCTTCGGGAAAAATTTCAGTCAAGTGGTAGATAGACAAACTTTTACCAACTAGACAAACTTCTGAATGCCTAAGGGACACTCAAAAGGAGATTGGAAGGGCAAGGAGGGTTGGTGGAGACTAAGCAGCTTGAGAGGAGGAATGAGGGCGGGCTCCAGCCAGGTAGAGCAACTGGAAAAGGTGATCTTGGTGGAACATTTAGTTGTCCGCACGCAGGTTGTTATGATATGGGGCTGAGGAGAGAAGCATCATGACCTCCTGAGCCAGGGTAGAAAACGTTACCTGTCTACTGGGCATGATAGGAAGTTGTTGAAAGATTTCTCTTGGTCAGCTGTGTGTTCCAGAAGCGTGAAGAAAAAACTGGATACAGAAACCTGATTTTGGAGGCTCCTGTAGTAAATAATGAGCAGTGAAATGGTGGTGACCTGAACTAGGAAGTAGCAAAGGAGTCACAAAGGAAACGACAGACTCGAGAAATAGGAGAGACAGAACCTAATAGACTTGGTGACAGTATTGGTAAATAGAAATATGGAGCTGAGATGAAGGAGTCGGGATGATGCCCAGATCCTTAGTTTGGGATTTGGGTATATGATGCAAATCCATTGAGAGAAAAAGTACACAGGAGGCACAGGGTTATGCATGAGTGTATGCATAGGAGTGGGCACACACGGGGCACTGATGAGTTACGTTTTAGACGTGGAGTTTGAGATATTTGTGGAATGATAGGATATTCTAGCCAAAAACAACCCAATCATTTTTACTCTTTTGTTAACAGACAAAACAAGAGGACGAGTAATTCTCTTATTATTTGCAGCAAAGTAAAAGACAAAAAAGTGGCGTGTGGGAAATGTACTGTAAAGATGAAATGAACTGGCTTCTAGAAAAGTTGCTAACGGGGCCCATGGCAAATGGTCCTCCTGCTCTGTTTTTCCACTCAGATTCTTTCTTTCTGAGCCCATCGACGTGCTGATTTCAGCCCAGTTCTGCAACTAGCTCATGTTGCCATCATTTGGGAAAAAGCAATCCAGGTTTTCCAGCTGCATTTCCAGTTGGGGCCCAGGAAGCACTTGTATCAGAGGAACTTCCACACGCTCCAGCCTCCGGCAATGGTCAGAGCCACGGATCTGAACACATACTGTTTTCTTTGTCTCCCTTCACCAAAATCTTATATGATGAAATCCACTAAACACAATTCTTTTCATAGCATAATTAAGGTCAGTAGCAGCCAGCAGAGCATAAATGGGGCAGGACCTTATTTCCATGCTTGTGGTTATAGTTATGATCTCACCATTTTTCCAGAAACAACTACTCTTTACTACTTCACACACTATGTTAGCCCCAAGTTTCCTTCCTCTGAGGCATAGAGAACAGTTCACTTTTCCCTAGTCAGCAGAAATAAAGGGTGTTTAATGTTGCTTTGACAAAGCCTGTAGATACTGCTTTCTTTCTAATTAATGCTTTTGTAGGCAAGTGTGATAATCCGGTAGGAAGGGGGTACATGCAAGGGGGAGAAAAGGAAGACTTTTAAAAACTACTTAGGTTGCCCGGCTGGTGTAGCTCAGTGGTTGAGCGACCCAGCACCAAGAGGTTGCCAGTTCGATTCCTGGTCGGGGCACATGCCCAGGTTGTGGGCCTGATCCCCAGTGGGGAGCATGCAGGAGGCAGCCAGTCGATGTTCTCTCTCATCAGTGTTTCTATCTCTGTCTCCCTCTCCCTTCCTCTTTCTCTCCAATATCAATAAAGAAAAAATAAAACAAGCAAAATGCTTATGCCTATCCGTAACCCTCGACTGAACTTAAAGATTCAGTCATTCAATTAATATGTGTCATTTGATTAATATGTATCAAGAGACCAGTGTGGGCCAAGAGCTGCTTTATGGGCTCAAATAAAAGTAAAAGACAAAATACAAGAGCTCTCTATCCTTGGGAAGAAGTCCTCCCTAGTAGAGAGGATTCTAATATGGGCTCACCCAACTTCTTAGTTGTTATCAAGAGTGAACACTTCTTCTTGAAAACCTCTTTTTCTGCGATAGTATATTTTTAGCTCTCCTCCCCCTTTCTATCTGGCCATCCTGAGTCTCCTTGCTGCCTTCATTCCCTCCACGAGAGTGTTGGAAAGTCCCAGGGCTCTGTTCTGGGCCCTCTTTCCTTCTCTTTCCATATCTCCCTTTAGGAGCTCTAACCCATTTCCTATGTCTTTAAATACCAGCTAAATAATACCATTGAACATGACATGAGTCTCCAGTTCATGTCTGCAGCCTGGCCCTCTCTTCTGAGCTCCAGGGTCATATGTTTTACTGCCTACCTGACGTCTCTACCTGACGTCTCTACCTGGATATCTAGCGCACATTGTGCACATAACATACCTGAAAGACTGAGACCTGATTCTCTCATCCCACATCTAAACTAGTCCTCCATCCAAGATCTTTCTTTGAGAAAATAACACTCCATCTGCCCAGTTTTTCAGTCCAGAAATTTGGAAAATAATCCATGGTTCCTCCCTCTCTGTATTCCCCACATATAATCCATTAATCATTAAGTTATAGCAATTTGGCCTTTGGAATACACCTCAAGCCCATCTGTTTATCTTCTGCTCTGCTACAACCCTCTTCCAAACTGCAGTAATCTCAGATGAGCTATTCAATAATGCACTACCTGGCTCTCCTTATTTGCTTCTCCTTCACACCATCAATTTTCTACATAGATGCTTAAGTAAACATTTAAAATTCTAAATCAAATCATGCATACCACTCCCTTGCTTCAATCCTATAAATAATCTTTCCCATTGGTCTTCTAGTACAAACTAGACTTGATGTGGTCTGCAAGGACCCTGTGATGTGGTCTCTGACTACTTTGCCAGCTCTCCACTAGCCAAGTCTTTCAGGATCACTTCGCTTTAGCTACCTGGACCTTCCTTCATTTCCTTAAGTGCATTGAGGTTTTTTCACCCTCGGAGTCTTAACTCATACTGTTCCTTCTGCCTGAACACACAACCTGTGACTTTTCATGATTCTTCTCTTTCTTTGCTCTCAGCTTAAAGGTCTCTTCACAGAGAATATTCCTGCTCATCCAGTTAAAATAGGTCATCATATTGTCCTCTGGCTGACAATCCTATTCATTCTCTTTGGAGCTCTTTAATTTATAGTCATATATGTATTTACCATTTCATTTTGTCTTCCTCTCTAGAATATGAAAGAAGAACATATGTTGTGTTGTTATTGTTCACCACTATGTCTCCTCACCTGATATGTTTCCTGGCAAACAGCAGGTGGTCAATAAGTATTTTTTGACTGGACCTTACATGATTTGGACTATTAAATCTTTGATATCATAAACTGAGCTAAATCTGGATATTTCTATAAATTTACATTGATACATTATTACATGCAAAACAATGTGTTAGGTCCTCTGAAAAATTCAAAGATGTATAAAGCATGGGTCCTACTCTCAAACAGCTTATATTTACAAGGAGAGAGATGATAGGCCTTAGAGGACCAGAGAATATAGTCAATGTAAATGTCATATACATTGAGGTAAGAAGAGACAGTTGGGAGGGAGTCAATGGGAGGAGATAGGGGAGCCATCTATAATACTTTCAACAATAAAAAAGAAAGAAAGAGAGAGAGACCGGTGGTTGCTAACCAACGGTGTAGGCATAAAGGGCAGGCCTGAGATCTGAACTTGGATAGAGTGCCTAAGGCAGAAAAATGAAGGAACTGATATGATACATTGGGAAAAACTGGTATGAGTTGTCAGGTGCAGGTAATCTGGAGAAGTAAACAATGACTGGCATTTTTAGGCTG